GTTATGTCTATGTCAGTTGAATTTTCTGTCTTTATATATATATATATATATATATATATATATATGCATACATACATACATACATACATACATACCTACATACATGCATACATAAATACATACATATATATCTATGTGTGTATGTTATGTATGTATCTATATATCTATGTATGTGTGTGTGTGTGTGTGTGTGTGTGTGTGTGTGTGTGTGTATATATGTATGTATATGTATGTACGTGTGTGTGTCCCTATATATATATATGTATATATTTATATTTATATTTATATGCACGCGCGCGTGCGTATAGAAAACTCTAGAGGGAATTTTATTCTTCTAAAATAAAGATTACAGTGAACAGGAGGAGCTCACTATACCCAAAATACAACTCACTCAAAAGAAAGCATAGAGGTCCTCCCCAAGGGTACAACACACACAAACAAGACTACAAAAAGATGAACCCAGAAGGAGGCAAGCCAATCAGCTAAAGAACAAGAAAAGAAACCTCAGGAACTGTAAAGCAACGAAGACAGGAGGAGCAAACTAAAGCTAAATCTTGCAAGCAAAAGGAAAAAACAACAACTAAGTGAGAAAAAATACAAAAGGAAAATAAAACTAGAGATCAAAATCGATCAAAAGAGAGGAACGAACCTGAAAAGACCGAAGAGTCACTGGCGAGAGGAAGTGAAATACGACGGGAAAGACCTATCAAAACTTTTTTTACTCCGACACTTTTTTTACGACCAAAAGGGAGTAAAAAAAGTGTCCCAGTATATCAACTTGAGACCCCTGAAACATCAGGGCAACCAAACAACAAAGGAAAAGAAAAACCGTCACCTGCGAAGCGAGTAATGCATACCAACATAGGATCATTCCAAAGCAAGCAATCCTGAAAGCCCCCATTAAATAGAACCACTAAAAGCACAATATAACCAATGCATCAAATATCGAGCCAAGCCATCATAAAAGCAATCAGCACCTCGTAAAGGCTTCCATAAAGCAGCTGTAATAAACTATAAAACAACAAGAAAAGCAAAACTTCAAAAACGAGGGTAGATGTACCCATGAAATAACAACACAAACCAACAACTGAAAATAAAGGCTCAGCATAAAAAAAACAAACGAGGAAATTAACCAACATGGAGTTAAGGAAACCCAGTTTTATCCAACGAAATCACACAGTTCAACTTTTTATCCAGCTCAACATAAAAAAAAAAACACGAATAGAAGAAAGGCCAAAGCTTAAATTAGCCAAACAATCAGCACAATAGTTACCTTCTCTAAAAATATGTGAGATCTTCCAATTTATAGAATTTAGTAGATTCCTTATTTGACTCAAAAGATAAAAAAGTTAGAAGTTGTGTGCATGCATGTAAATTTTCCTATTCTACATCAAAAATATGCAAACTCTGATCCTGAGGAGATCTAATGGCTCAGAAGGAAGAGAGTGCAACAAAGAAGGGCCCACCAAAAGAAGAATGAGAACCAAACTTATCCGATCGGATGCAGCCACCCGAGCCAAGACTAAAGGCTGACCGAATGTAATAGTTCGAGCCAAACCTAAAGTCTAACCGAGTCAGGAGAGAGACAAAATAATGTCTGATTGGATTAAAACAAGAGAGTAAAGTATGAAAATAAACCACCATAAGAAAGTCGATTCAAGCCAGTGATCTACGTGGATCCGATAAAAGGAAGACCCAGTTCCTCAATATCACGAGCTACTAAGTGGAAGGTATGTAAATCTTTCCAATACTAATTATGGAAAGTAATTATTATTTTGATTTTTCTATTTATCCTAAATGTACATATTTGAATT